ACCAGCAAGGTCTTATGCAAACCCCTCTTTCCCCCTAATAAACAACTGGATAACATCTGAGAAGAGGAGGAGGAGGAAGAGGATGTGATGCCAAACCTGAGGAAGAATCCTGTAGCAGCCAGGAAAGTCGCTGTCATTCACGAGCTTCAGCATCTTCTGGTAAGGGACCTTCAGGTAGCACCGTCCAAACGCCATGACGGGGTTGAGCGCCCGCAGGGCAGGAACGACACACCTGGGCAAAGGGAGGGCAGCCCAGGCACTGACTGGATGGCTCTGGCTGGGAGAGGGAACAGCTCCAGGGAACTGCATCCCTCTGGTCACTAAACTGGCACCCAGAGCAGCAAACAGGAGAGAATTCGGCTGCAGCAAGAACAACTTTTGGCTTCAGCTCTGAGAACTTTAGTGCTCAAAAGAGCCAGAGGGAGGCACTGAAACCTGAGCTCCTCTGCCACGGCAAGGACTATATTCCCCTTCATAAGATCTTGCCTTTCTTTTGCCCTTCCCACTCCTGCCGTGAGCCCCTTTCCCATTGGCACATGTTGGCTAATTGAGCCAGACCCCAGTTCTCAGCAGGCTGCTCACTGTGTCCCAAAACAATGGTCACCACCCAGCACAAATCCATCTCTTGCAGGAAGGAGGACAGGCTGCCCTCGGGAAACTTGTTACACCTCAAGCACCAAAATCCAGGCAAATAATTAATGTCCTTCCTGTTCCACTTAGAAAAAGGCCCAGGGCCATGCCTGGCTGTGAGCAGGGGTGCCTCTCATCATGGGCTTCCCAAGTGCTTCCCAAGCACTGCTGTTCTCATGTGGAGCTGGGCAGAACCATCTCATTAAGCAGCCCTTCCCCTTTGGAGCTGCAGCCAGTGGCAGGCAGGGTGCTGGTGGTGGGTGCACGAGGAAAGACAAGCAGCTGCAAGGAAAGTGCTGGTACCTGGCCGTGAGGGGCAGCGCCGACACCTTCTTGCCAACACCATCCACGTCCACCACCAGCTCCATCTTGTATCGTCCCACGGTGTTGGAACACAGGGTGACCTGGTGGGACGGAAGAGCAGCAAATAATGCCTCGCTCCCAAAGGTTCATCACACGTGTAGTGTCCTCCAGTTCTTGTTCCGTGGCGAGGAAAGGATGGGTTTTGCCTTAATTCTTCTGCTGGTCCACGTGTAGAGGGCAACCTCTGGGAGCAACAAAAGCCTTCTGGCAAGATCGGATTTATTAAACATATCTTGAAGTTATCAGGGCCTAGGTAAGCTAAATTAAAGCACCAGCAGACTAGTGCTGTCCTCACCACTTTATTCAAATTAAGGGATCAATTTTTCACCTGGCTGCAATGACATAAACGCAGAGGAAATCTGTTGACTTGAACAGAATGAGTTCAGCTTTACAGCAGGAAGCTGAGGGCACAGTGTGGCCCAGCAGATTGCTGGGCAGTTCGTGGCTGCAGAGTCTTTTCTGTCCCCACTGGAGATCCCTGCAGGGAATACAACTCATTCTGCTCCCCAGGAGAGGAGAAATGAGAGAGGGAAGGAAAGCAAACTGATTTACACAACGACATCTCTCCCTCTCACAGCCACCTTCTGTCCTCACCCTCCCTCTGCTGCTTTCCATCGGAGAAATTCCTCTCACAAACACACGAGCGGCTTCCGTGCTTGACCACGCGGCGCATGATTTCAGCTTGTGATTTTGGAAGCAAAACTCTGCTCCCCCAGGCACATCCCAGCTGACAGAGGCCTCACACCAGTGCAGATCTGCTCCTCACCCAGCACCCCAAAGCTGGCAGTGCCAAAGCCCTCCCACCCAGCAGCG